TTTTTCCTATTTTCAGTTTCTTTTCATTTCCATTGTCATGTTCCGGGTGCTGGTCACGAACGACATGATAATTTATTTCAAACAATTTCCAAATATCCTTTGTCCAGCCCCTTTTCTTTGGTTTCTATATATCCACATTCCTCCCAATCCACGCATGTGTTATACCAAATATCAGTTATTACTTGTATCACCTCCTTTTTCTTGATGTTTTTTCCTCTTTTCCATTTTCCATTACCCTTTCCATGTTTCTCGATCATCATGTCTTAGCGTAATCCGCTCACATTATATAAAGCATAACAAAAAAATAAAGGAGATGATTATTACGGCAATGGGTTCTTTCAATTTCCTCTCCATTTGCCTATGAGAGGATCTGCAAGGGCTCAAGAAAAAAAATCAGAAAAAAAGGGAGGGGAGGGATGGGGGTGAGCCTTTCCTTTGTTCCAAAATTTCTTTTTTTCCCCCCTTTGACTTCTCTGCTAGATAATGTCTTGCCAGCTCTGGAAAGGGAATACAAATATTGAATACTAGTCTCAGCGAAAAAACAGAGGAAGGAAAGAAGTACCTCAATACATTAATTACATATATGTGCACCTAGCAAGGGACAGGTAACATGGAGAAATTCTATTCTATATTCATGACTTCATATTATGTAGTTAGTAGTTGATGGATAATGTGTTCAAATTTCCATTCAACGGTTTTGGGCAGTTGCCTCTGTTATGTAAGAGGGGTAACGCCCCGCTAGGCAAATACTTAACTATAGCATTCCAACTCTCTCTCTTTTTGATGAAAGATAGAAAGTAAAAATGATATGAAAAGTTGTTGCTAGGCTGAGTTTTTTCTGTTATTGCTATTAATTAGGCTTTTCGTGCATCCAATTGCTGTGGGGGATTTTTTTGGGGGGAGGGGGAGGGGAGAGGGGCAAAAAGTGCAAAGAAAACCGGGAGAAGAAGGGAAAAAAAAAAAAAAAAAAGGATACGTGGAATAACGCGCTGTTCTCCTGTTCTCAATGTCTTATTATATGTATCTACTTTCAGTTGTACATAGTCCTGTTGCTGGCGCTGAGACCCAACTAGACTTTGGTCAATCGCAACTGGAACGCGGCCACCCTGGATCTTGGATCTTGGAATCTGTTCAAGATTTTCACCATGCCACACCAACAACGACAACAACAACTCAACGTCATTGCCCTGATATCTGGCGGCAAAGACTCTCTCTACACCATCCTCCACTGTCTTAAAAATGGACACAAGGTTGTTGCGCTCGCGAACCTCCATCCGTCTCTGCAGCCACAGCGCAGCTCTAATTATGCTACATACCTAACGGCGGGGTCGTTGCGATGCGACGACCGGGATGGAGATGTTGTCCAAAAGGGTAGAGCTGGCGAGGAGGAAGGTAACGGAGATGGATTGCTTGGCCAATTGGGGAAAGAGGAGGAGGAGGAGGACGACGTCGTCGTAGAAGAAGAAGACCTCCACAGTTACATGTACCAAACAGTCGGCCACAGTATAATCCCCCTGTACCAATCCGCCCTGGACATCCCGCTCTACCGCGCTCCAATCCACGGCACAGCCATCAACATATCGCGCGACTATCAGGAACCTCCTCCACCGTCATCATCATCAACATCATCAACAGCAGCAGCAGCAGCAACAGACGAAACAGAATCTATCTTCCACCTCCTCCAACAGATACTAACGGTCCACCCAACTGCCAATGCCGTCTGCGCCGGCGCCATCCTCTCCACTTACCAGCGTACGCGAGTTGAGAACGTCGCCAGCCGTCTGGGATTGACCACCCTGGCCTGGCTGTGGATGTACCCAACCCTTCCACCGCCAGCGGAACGTGAGTTGGTCCCACCTCGCTCCCCCGCAGCCATCGCGGGATTGTTAGAGGATATGGCCGCGTGCGGCTGTGAGGCGCGGATTATTAAGATTGCTAGTGGCGGGTTGGATGTGGAAGATCTGTGGGGGAATGTTACAGGGAAAGCGGACGGGGGCGGCGATGTGACCAGGAGGAAGTTGGTGAAGGGAATGGGGAGGTTTGTTGGGGAAGGGGAGGTGGAGGGGGCGGTGTTGGGCGAGGGTGGGGAGTATGAGACTATTGCGCTGGATGGGCCGGGGGTTTTGTGGAAGGGGAGGATTGTTGTTGAGAGGATTGAAAGGAGGGTAGGAGAGGGGGGTGTGGCTACTGCGAGGATTAGGGGGGCCAGGTGTGTGCGGAAGGACGGGAACGGGGATGGTGGGGAACTAGGGCTGGTGAGAGTGCCGCAGCTGTTTGATGCTGGGTTTAAGAGGCTCTTGGATGAAATGATGTTGTGCAGGTGGAAGTATGAGGATGTCGGAGAAGAGCTCCAGGATCACCAGTCACATGGTGACAGTGATGGTAATGAAAGCTGGAAGGTGGCTGTATCCCAAATCAAGGGAGAAAATATCTGGACTATCTCAAACGTCTCTGCCCCTGAAATTGGCTTGGGGGCGGGGAATCAGATGGCAGCTATTGCACGAAAGCTCAAGTTGATATTACAATCTACCGCCATGGCTGCCGAAAACACACCCACCCCAACGACCGCGGACATCATCTTCACCACCCTCCTCCTACGATCAATGGACGACTTCGCTTTGATAAACCCCATCTACGCCTCTCTATTTACTAAACCGAACCCCCCCGCTAGAGTGACCGTGGCATGCGGGGATACCATGCCGCCCGGCGTGGACGTCCTCGCTTCCTTCGTCGTAGACATGCTTCCACGCGAATGTAGATTGGGTCTACATGTCCAGTCACGCTCTTACTGGGCTCCCGCGAATATAGGGCCGTATTCGCAAGCGCAATGCATTCCGCTAAACAAGAATACAAAGATTGATCGCGATGGCGGGCTAATTTATATTGCGGGGCAGATACCCCTGGAACCTGCGTCAATGCAGGTATACAATCCTCCACCAGGTGAGGAGACTATTGGCTGGTATAATCCCTTTGTGTCTCGCTCGGTCTTAGCGTTACAGCATCTTTGGCGGATTGGGAGAGCCATGGAGGCGGATTGGTGGTTGGGCGCTGTGGTGTTTCTAGCTGGAGATGAGAATATCTTTGCAAAAGCCAAGGCTGCGTGGGATATCTGGGAGCATATGAACCGCGATCCATCGTCCCTGACGGCTGGGGCCAAGGAAGGTGATGGAAATGATGATGAGACGCCAGAATTCGATTGCTGGGATATCAAGTACGGAAACCAGCGGGATTTAGGGAACCTTTCCTCATCGAAGGGCGTAAGGAAAAGTCTGCCAAATTTCGATGTCGTCAGGGGTTCTGTGTGCACGCCGCCATTCTTCGCAGTGCAGGTCGCTGCGTTGCCACGCGCAGTTGATATTGAATGGCAGGGTCTAGGGACAAGGTCTAATCTCCTGACCACGTCCGAAGAAACACAAATCAACAATCGGCCATGGACATTGGAGCATTCACAAGGTGCCGGTGTGGGGTCGTTCTACTATATGGGAATTCAAAACGGGGATGCACAACCCACCCAGGATGATTTGGAAGCACATATACATGACACGATAGAATTCGTGAAAGCAAGAGAAATTGATATGCATGGCGAGAATATTGATCATGTTTACTCGACAGTATATACGTCTTACCGTCTGAGAGGCAGTTTTTGGCAGGTGGGACAGATTGTGCCCTGTAAGTCTGTCTGGGGCTCAAAGGGTTCGAAGCTTGCTGCTGGTATTGTTGTTCATGTCCGCTTAAGGGGTGAAAATCTCTGTCTGTATCTCATCGATGAGCATGATGATATTTGAATTGCTTTGT